AATATTTTCACACTTCAATTGAGATATCATTAGGCCATATAGACTTTTCAAATTTGGTTTTTCTTTAAGCCTCAACATTTTCTTTTTCATTAATACGATGGTAAAATTGAAACATTTTATTATTATTAAAGATATTAAGATTACTATGGTCGATCGTATTTTTAGAAACTTCATTAAAAGATTTATCAAAATAACTCATCTAGTTATATTGTATACTCTAGTTATATTGTATACATTTTTCTAAGAAAATCACTTTTTGATTTTCATCTTTAACTTCCTTTACTTGAGTTAAATCTTTACTTTTCTTTTCTCTTTGTTTGACTTGTTTATACATATAATTTTCACCCTCTTTAGTATTTAATATAATATAAAGATCACTAAAAATAGTATTTTTAGCATCACAGATTATTCTCTTAGACTCAATATGAGTCATTTTATATTTTTCTCAATTCTCTAAGCTTTTACATTAAAGCAATTTTTATAACACTTCTTATATTTTATCTTGTCCTGCATATTATTTTTCTGCCATCAACTATTTTTATTTATAAAAACTTTTCCTTTTGATTCTCGAAGTACATCTTTTGACATTTATTTAATAGTATTTTTTTACTTTATTTCGTGTAGAATTTGCTTCTTCATGAACATCCCAAATCTTGAAATTTACTCATCAAAATAATTTTATTTGGCTTTTCGGTGCTCTCATCTAATTTTATGACTATGATTCTAGTATTCTTTATTTTACAATTCTTCATCTTAAAATCCAGAATTAGTAATTGATGTTCAGTACTTAAACCTTCTCATAAAATTTTTGTTTAAGTCTAGACAGTATTTTTCTATCACACAATAGGCTTGTTGCATTCTTCACCCAACCAACTTGAATTCTACTACTAACATCTCCATCTATATCACTATCATTTTGAACAATAGACCTGAGATATGTAAAACGTTCACACCTTTTATTAATTTGATCAACTATAGTTACAACTCTACCGCTAGAGTAATACTACTAAAATTACATTCTATGTATTCAGGTTTAGATCTACTCAAACGAAAACCGTTAGACTACAATGTAAACCTCCATAATTAAATTTTTTTCTGAACTCTTTCTGAGTTTTATCCATAAGGAGGATATCGTCAGCGAAAAACATACACCAAGGTACATCTTGTAAATGCCCAGAAAGAACATCTATAACTAAAACAAAAAGATATGGGCGTAAAAAAGATCTCGCATGTAATCCAACTGAAAAAGGAAAATACTTGGCAATCCTCTTCTTCAAACACAAGTAACAGCTTTAGTATATTAATAATTTTCCAATTTAATTATTTTTGTTGCATTTAATTTTTGATACATCCGATTAACGATCCTTTTGCTCCAATGTTTTTCACGTATATTATTATACAAAAAAAAATTATGCATGATTTTTTTTTATTTTTGTCTTGACCTTGTTTTTTTTTTTCTGAATGCAGTTCTGATGATCCTCACAAAGACGTACAGCTACTGTTGACAAAATATAAGGAGGTGCCGAAGGAAGAGCCTCAATTGAAGATGCTCTTGCCACATATTACTTCGACATTTGGTCTTGATAAATCTGTTTCACAAACAATAGCTGAGTTGAAGAAGCTTCAATCAAGTAATAATGCAGCAGGTATTCTTTTTTTTTTTCCCCCTCATTATTATTCATTGCTCATCAATCATGGAGTAAACTGAGAGCCCATGATCCACGTGATTCATCTTGGATTCATTCGAAAGGCCAGGGGTGGTCATGTTTCTTCATGCAAAAATAATTGCAGTCCTATTAGTTGTAGTAGTGTTTATTCATCATGTTTTATTTCTTAAAATTTGATTATAAATAAATAAATAAATATTGTAATTTATGTTCAACTCCTAATGAAACACGTTTTCTTACAGTGGCAGAATGGGCAAGGGATGCCCTTCTAGGTCTTGGAAAAGGCGCTCCTTTTTCTCTTGTTCTTACTCACAGGCATTTCTCCCAAGTTGCATCCGCATCTGAAAATGGCCAACACCCTTTATCCACAGTAAGTTTCCATTGATAAATTTTCTTGTGATATCTTGCCATTCCTCACATGACTGTTACTTCAGTTAAATGGTGTGATGAAAACTGAGTATCGAATAGCATTGAGATCTTCAATCCGAAATGATTTTGCCGAAGGTGTTCGTGCTGTCTTGGTCGACAAAGATCAGGTATGCCGATATTGTTGCAAGTTCAGGTTACATGGAATCAAAACTGCTGTTTTTGTTATTGGTAACTGTTTGATGCCAATTTAGATCGTGCAACCTAAAAAAATTCTGTAAAACTTATATTTATTTTTCCTCGGCTAATTTTATTTTTTATTTCCTGGTTGCGAGCCCCTTCATGCTGTATTTTACCACCATGATTGCATGCCACTTTACATTCATGTTCCTTTTTATGAAGACTTCCTATTCCTTTAGTTCAATGGCACCCTGAGGATTTCTTAGAACATTGTGACTCAAATTGAATGCCAAGCGACGAAGGAACGAAATGCGTGGAACTTTTTTTTGATCATTTATCTCTTCACATCATTTTAATATGATCAAACATCTTTTCCTCAAGTGACCTTTCCTGATTTTTCCTAGCATCCAATCAGAACCTAAATTTTGTCAAAATTTCTATGTGCCTTCTCAAGCATTCTTTAATTCTCTGTTGGTGTGAGGCAGAAACCCAAGTGGAATCCTCCAAGGTTGGAAGATGTTGACATGAACGAAGTGGAATCCTTGTTTGATACATTGACCCCTGAGGATGAGTTGCAGTTATAGTAAAATGATGATATAGTCGGAAATGGCTCCACACAGATGCAACAATAAAATGAAGGATTTGGTATTCTCTTTTGTCTTATGAAACAAAATTTTGCTGAATAAATGATAATTCTAATTAAGAGCATGTTGTTTTTCAATTTGGATTAGTTTTGATTTCAAGTTATTTGAACTATATGTTGAATTCAGCTTTGTGTGCTGAAATATTTGCTAAGATGGAGATGCTTAGCATTGAATGAAAATTTCGCACCTAAATATAAATTGGAAGTGTAACACATATAAACTACATTCTAATCAATTTGTTAATGTAAGGATATAGAAGATCATTGCCATATAATTTTGTCAATGATCTGCATAAAAAAAATGTCTCAAAATCAATTTGTGGAAGTTACTAAAGTGGATAGATTGAATTTCTTGCCTTCAGGATTGTTCAAAAAAAATCTTAAGAAAGCTTAGAATTTAATTGATCGAAGTTGACTACCTTGGCATTAAATTATCTTTCTTGATGGAGGAGATCAATGCCACTAATAATTCATGAATTGGAGGTGTGCTTGAGA